CTATCACATAGCCAGCTGACCCTGTGAGCTCAGACTTTCCAAAATGATTCACCTTTTGGAAAACTCCAGTCATGGAAAAGTTCTATCCAAATAAAGACTATAGGACATTAAGTGAGTGAAAATTAAGTTAAAATGGAATTTCTTCTGAAAACACATGAATCAGTAGAGGCTTTTTCCTATCAGGAGTCCCCCTCTCGTGTGAGATGATTATAAATTAACCATCCTCCTGCTTAACAGTACTGTGATAGCTAAATCCTTCACTGCTTCCCAAAAGTGAAGTGAACTTTCTGGCACCTCTGATCACAAGCAGAGAGCCAGCTTGGCCCATCGTGTGAAGAGTGTGGAGACCCTGTGTGGTAAAACAAATGGCAGAAAGAGTGGAGTTGTTCTAGTGTTATCAGCAGAGAGCAGACTGATGTTACTTTGTATCAACTATCAAGTTCCTTAAGAAGTACCCTTAGTTGTAGCCAGTATAGATAAGATAGACTTTGGCACAATAGATTAGAAAGGGTATTCCTGAGGGTTAGATTTTCCCCATGCCTACTCCGTGGCACTCTTGCTATATGTCATGGATTGTCATGTCACTTGTCTAGTTGGCTGTGTTGCTGGATTGTGAGCTGTTAATGGCAGAATCCGTGTCTATGGTATTTCTCTATGTGTCTAGTGTTAACAGGATCAGCACCTGGGATGCTTTCCAGAAATGTTTACCTAAGTATGTATCAGTCTTGTTAGTCCTGTGGTAAAACAAGAACAACAACAACAACAACAAAAAAAAACCAAGTGTAAATTACAGGATTGATGCTTTCCTCTCTTTGCTGCTTGGATTGCTTGTTCTTCCTATCCTAGCATTGTAAAGTTTCAGCTGTGTGCTTTGATATTGATCCTTTAAAGTTTGTTAGTCAAGTATTCTGTGGCTCTTCATTGAAACACATTTTTCAATTCTAGACTTTTTTTGTTGTATTTTTCCCCTTTCTGATATGTGTCTTATTTGCTATAGTTGGGCAACAAGCTGTGCCTCAGTAGCGTAACACAGTAAATGTTTTTGGTTTTTGTTGTTGTTTTTCAAGACAGGGTTTCTCTGTGTAGCCTTCTTGGCTGTCCTGGACTCTAGACCAGGCTGACCTGAAACTCATAGGAATCCCCTTGCCTCTGTCTCCCTGAGTGCTGAGTTTACAGGCGTGCCCCACCACGCCCGGCTCTGTTTCTTGTAGTGCTAAGAACGTTATGCCAGTGGCTTAGCACTTGATTTGGTCGCTCAGCCCTCTGGCATGTACAGCCTTTAAGGGTGGCTTTTCATTTCACTCCTCTAATTTCATTCCTGTCCTTCTGTGGTTTTCATTTTCTCTAAATGCAGCGGATCCCTATGGATTAGCAGTGGTGGGACATAGCCTGTGTTTTGAGGTAAAGAAAGGCTTAAGATGTTCCTAATGCAAGCTTTCAGCTGGTTGTGGCAGTCTGAGCCTCTCTTCCACCTTTTAAGGTTCCTGATCATTAAATTTAACGAGGCTTTCTAAGGTTCTGTAATACAAATTGGCTTTCTTGTCATCTTTTCCACATAGCTCCAAGCTTAGTAGATTAGAGGAAAGCCAGTTATGACTTACGTATTTGCTACCTTTTTTGAGTCAAAAATCTCACGTAGTTGAGGATGACTTTGAACTCCTGATCTCTTGCTCAACTGAGTGTGAAGATAAAAGAGGCATCTGTCACCATGTTTGTTACTTTCTGGGAGTTTGATTAATACCTTTTTTTTTGTTGTTGTTGTTGCAGTTAATTTAATGGTATGGCCTAGTAATGTTTATTATTAGCCCTGTAATTATTATGTCAGCATAATCTAAACTGCTATCACAATCAATAAAAGACAGACACCTGATAGATTTTTATAATAGCCTTATCTTACCTGAGGCAGAGCAGATATTAACCCTCTAAACTACCTTTACCTTCCAGCCCCATCCCAGACTACCTCGATTTCATAATTCCATAAATCCTGTGCCTTCTCTCATCTGGGCTGTTTCCCCATCCACGCCCACTGTGTGCTTCTCCCACGGTAACCCACGGCGGCTCTTTCCTTTCTTCCTCCTCCTCTTCTGCTACCTGTCTCTTTCCACCCAAGCTCCTTCTGCCCTCCCAAATGTAGGCCTTTTAGTCAGCCAGTCAGGGGTAATTGGGGACATTCCTTCTCATCACGTGGGTGCAGGAGCCAGTACAGTTCAGCGGGCATAGCAATGCCTGTGGCAGGGTGGCAACCAGATCTCAAGCCACTGGAATCAGCCTTGAGGACAGCCCAGACCAACCCCCGCATTTCTCCTGTTGCCCTTCTTCTTGCTAATGTTGTATAGTTTCAGTTACATTTATTTGCCACTATTAATAGGACTTTGGCAGGAAATGGACGATAAAGGACGTGCTGGTTCTTCATTAATCACGTTGACTCTTCTGTGGATTCTGTTCAGGACCAGGAAACCTGAAGGAACCATTTTGAGTTCCACATTAAGACCAAGGGTTTTTTGTTTGTTTGTTTTATTTTGTTTTGTTTGTTTAAAGATTTCCTTTATTTATTTTAAATGTTCTATGTGCATATACATCTGCATGCCAGAAGAGGGCAGTAGAGGGTATAGATGGTTATGAGCCACCATGTGGTTGTGGGAATTGAACTCAGGACCTCTGGAAGAGCAGACAGAGCTCTTAAGCACTGAGCCATCTCTCTAGCCCAAGACCAAGGTTTTGATACAGGTTTATTTTGGGTATTGGTTTGGCAGTATGACAGATCACCCCAAAATATACTGGATGACATAAAACAACTAGCTGTTGTGTTGCAGTTTCTCATAACTCCAGAGGCCATTAGGTCCAGCGGTCAGGCAGTTGCTCAGACTCAGGCTCCCTTTAATCAGATAGTGGTTGGGACCATCTTAGAGATTGAGTTCTTCTAATGCTTAAGGACTCCTGGGAGCTCGGAATGCTGCCTCAGACATCTTTCTGTCTATGTGACCTATGATGCGGTGTGGCTTTAGGACAGGAGTTCTAAAGATGTATTCTCAGAGGAGAAAGGCTTCAGAAGGCCTATTGGGCCACTTGCACAGAACTCCCTTAGGTGAGGCAGTTTGGAGGGGTTTGTTTAGGTTCTGGAAGAGCACGTGAGACAGGAGATGTGTGAAAACCAGTTTGGAAAATACCATTTGTTGGCAGAATTTCACTAGCACTGCTGTGTAGTCCCTGGATAGTTGAGTAAGTAGCCTAGGTTTCAGTTTCAACACTTGGGACTGTAAATAGCTTCCTGTTGGTGTAGTAATACTGTAAAGCAAACCCCCACCCCTACCCCGGTAAGCAGCAGTCGGTAAGCATTGGAGAGCTGCTGCGGTGTTCCTGCATTAGCTGGAATTTGCCTTATCTCATCTTGGCTTCAAGCTTAACTCTGTGCCACTTACAAAACACACAATATTAAGTGCAGCAGTAAGGTGGCTGTTCATTAGCAAATTTACCCTGGAAGGTGGGAAAGCCTTATATAACCTCATAGGTGGGATTTATAGGACTTATTTTGTTATCTTGGGCTAATTGTTGGTTGAATATTTATAATACACTGACTATAATTTTGGATCTGCCTACTGGTAGATTGGAATTTAAACAGAATTTCTCGAATGTTTTTGTTGGTCTGGCATGTCAAAGCAGGCATCGCAATTCTCTTACCTGGAATATGAGGTGCCTTAAATACCCTGATTTCATCCTTTAGAACTCAGTTTTGGGGCTGGAGAGATGGCTCAGTGGTTAGGAGCACTGTCCGTTCTTCCAAAGGACCAGGGTTCAATTCCCAGCGCCCACATGGCAGCTCATAACTGTCTGTAGTGCCAGTTCCAAGGGATTTGACACCTTCACACTAATGCACATAAAATAAAATTAAATAGAACTCAGTTTTACCCGATGCAGCTTTCTCGATTTGAAATGATTAGAAATTAGACAGGATTGTGTTGTATTTCCCTACTCTCTCAGTAGCTCCAGTTTGCCCAGTGTTAAGAAGTTGTGTTTTGTCTTTGGGTTGTAGGTGTAGAATAAGAAGGAGCCTTCTGTTGAGCATCTGCACTTGTTTGCTCTTCTTCTTGAAATGATGGCAGTGCTTTTGTTCCCGTGCCCCATCTCGCCTGTCACTTGCCCCTTGAGTCTTATATAAAGTGGAACAGTGCAGCCAGGGCTGTCTGTGGCTTTCATGGTAGTAACTGTGTAAGCTGAGACTCCGGTGGAATGCAGGAGGCCTGCGTTCTTAACTACGTCGTTATTTTCATGTTAGCGTCAGTCTGGGAAAAGTGTGTATTTGTAGAGCTGTTAGAGTGAGCTTTAAATATAAGATCATTTACTTCTTTCTCAGTGAGGGTTCTATTGCTGTGAAGAGACACCACGAGCACGGCAACTTTCTAAAGGAAGACATTTCAGTGGGGCTGGCTTCCAGTACAGAGGGTTAGTTCATTATCATCATGGCCAGAAGCATGGCAGCATGAAGACAGGCATGGTGCTGGAGGAACTGAGAGTTCTCCATTTTGATCCAGGAGAAGACTGGATGTGGGCCACCCTGGGCATTTCTTGAGCATTTAAAATAGACCTTTAAGACCTCAAAGCCCCACCTCCACATTGACACTTTCTCTCACAAGTTAGGCACCACCTCCTCTTGAAAAACCACACCTTCTAATAGTGCCACTCCCTATGGCCAAGCATTCAACCACATGAATCTATGGAGGCCATATGTATTCAAGCAATTTCCATTGCTATAATTTTGTTTCCTTTTTTAATAATTTCTTTTAATATATGCATTGATCTTTTGCCTGTGTATATGCCTGTGTGAGGGCACTGGATCCTGTGGAGCTGGAGTTAGACAGTAGAGAGTTGCCGTGTGGGTGCTGGGAGTTGAACTCGGGTCCTCTGGAAGAGCAACCAGTGCTCTTAACAGCAGAGCCATCTCTAGCACCCCGTTTTTGTTTCTTATCCCACTTGTAAATTTGTTGTCTCTTTCCTTGAACTAGGGTGACAAAGGAAGTAGACGCTTCATCTAAGGAAGCCAAGTCTTTTCTCAAGCAAAACGAGAAAGAAAAACCGCAGGCTCTTGTCACTTCAGTGGCACCACCACTCCCTGCTGGGTCCGGGTGAGTATTTGCATCAGTCCCAGGTGTAGTTGGCACACTGGGAAAACTTTTCTGTTTAAGGACATGCTTCTAATTGCAACTGACATCACTCCTTTTCTGAGATAGGGGATGAAATTCTGCCTTTTTGGAAGTATTTGCCCAGATGGAGTTTGCTAAAAAAAAAAAATCATCCGTAGATTGCTTATTTAGTAATCCCAGCCTGAAAAAAGTTAGCCACAAAGCCACAAAATGTAAATTGTATACCTAAAAATAATTTTTGTATGATTATTAGCAGTTCATCTGAACTTCTAATGAATGTTTGAATTGAGGACTTCGTTTCACCCCCATGACAACAAAGGAAAATAAAAAGGTCAAGTGGGCACAGGAGTCTGTACCTGTATTCCCGGCTATTCGGGAGACTGAGAACGGTGGATCACTTGAGCCCAGGAGTTGAGGAATAGCCTAGGCATCAGAGAGCCCATTTCAAAGAAAAAAGTCAAAAATGATTAAAAGAAGAAACTTTGATAGTTTATTTCCTTTGCTCTTTTCATACTTTATTTTTAGCCAAAGACTAAAATTCCTTTCTCTTTGAAAATAGCAAAAGTTCCTGTCTTCTTAATTTACATAAGAAGTAAATAAGAGAGGCCTAAGGCTGTAGGCTCTAAGGAAGTGACCACAGACCACATTACATGGGTATCACTGGCCAGCCAACAGAGTTCTGGGTAGGCCAGGCTCCTAAGCTTCCTTCTCTGGCATTCAGATAGGAACTGTCACCTCATTAAACATACTCATCTTTGTTGTGAACAGGAAAGTTGTTTTGTTTGTTTGTTTCTTTCTTTCTCTTGTTTTTTTTTTTCCCCCATCCCCCTCTTTCTCTTGTTTTTGAGACAGTCTTACTATATAGACCTGGCTTTGCCTAGGACTAAAGGTGTGTGTTACCATGCCTGGCAAAGCAGGGAAGTTTTATTTTACATTTTTTCTCCAACTAATTTTTCTTATCAAACTGTATAGGCAAATTTCCATCTTTTTAGCCTGGCTCTGAATAATTCTGTTCCAGTGGTATGTCCCATAGGGTACACTTACCTAGAAGCAGAATCTGAGACAAAAAAGTTTGCATGCAAGTAAGTCATTTATGTGAGAAGTGAGACCCAGAAAGGAAAGTAAAAGGAAGACAGATTTCTCAGACACTGCTCACTGCCTTTTCTGTTACATGTTAACCATATTGATTGCTGAGGAAGATTCTGGCTAAGCAGACTCTTGATAAAGGCAGCTGGGTTAATTGGATATCAGTAGACAGTCTCTTTAAGTTGACGGAGAGGGATTCCTCCTAGACCTGAGCTATGCAGTCCTGACATGGACAAGTTGCCAGGCCCAGTTGAGGAAAAAGCTGAGAGGACTCTGACAAGTGTGTTAAGGAGAGAGTCACCCTCAGGCTGCGTACAGGAAAACTCTTGGAATAGAGGAAGGTTGAGAAAAGGAGCTATTACTGGGGCTATTCTAGTGAAAAAGTTTTCAGTATATTAATGACCTACTGACTCCCCTACAAAAGGAGTAAAATGAAGTCTGTCCAAATCAACTTCTTTGAAAGCTATAATGGAATATACCAGAGTAGGAGAATAATATCTAAGTATCACAGTAAAAATGCATGAACATATGGACATTTATCTCTGTTTGGTACATTACTAGGCCTTGAATTTCTGATAAATCTCAAGTGGCCCTTCAAGGGTGATCTGCTTGTTTTTCTGACCTGTGTCTCAGAAAACTTTTACAGTTATAAATGCTTGAAACATCAAAGGAAATATCTGCTTTGGGGTTTGAAAGTGGACTCATTTTATCAGTGAAGACGTTAGCATCTGCAACAGATTCCATGTGAATGGCAGGTCTTTTTAAGGGAAGAATTTGCTGGAGTCATCTAGTATATAAGAGAAAAGTAATATAGTAGAATGTTTTTCATTCCCTTCCCCCCACTTTGGAACTGCTTCAGTTTATAGAAATTGTGTATTTTCCTTTTCTCTAAACAGATTTAAGCAATACAGGAAAACCAGTACAGAAGAGTAAAACATCCTGCCCCACATCTTTCAGTAACAAATAAGGACAGATGCAGAGAAGCCAATGTTTGTAACTGAAAATGCATTTCCTCTACATGTTTAAAATAGCACACTGCTTAGGCTATAAAAAGCCAAGAGTTTGTGTGTCAGGAATAGAGCAAACCCTCTTCTAATTAGAGACCAGAATCGGGCTATTACATTTGGTAGAGGAAATCACAATGCTTACTAAGTGTGTCTAAATTCTCATGGCTTCATCATCCAAGCTTCCTGATCTCCCTCTTCCTCTGCACATTGGATTCTTGCTGCATTCAGCTTCTTCCAGCTGGTAGCTGGCTGGGCTTCAACCACAGACTTGCTCTTTTCTTCCACTCTAACACGTACTACTCCATTAGTCTCATCAAGACTGAGAATCCTTGCTATAGACTTTATTGCATTTCTACTTTAAGCTGTAGCCTTACAGATTGGGAACAAACTAAGGCAATAAAATACAAGGTTGAAACATACTGTTTGCCTATGTGGTTTTGTCTTTTCTTGCCTCTTGGATGTAGAATCTCAAGTGACATGGTGGTGCCACATAAAGCAGTGTTCATCCCAAAGACAGGGAAGATTGGATTTGTCATAGAGCCACACGAAGATTAAATCTCAAATCGATAAGCTGGGTATGATGACTGTAATCCTAATATCCAGAGAAGAAGGCAGCAGGATCTGGGGGTTCAAGGCCAGCCTTGACTACATAGTGAGTGTGGTCCATCTGGACTGCATGATCAGCAGTAACGCCTGCTCCAGTGGTTTGTCAGTTGTCATTGTCTCTGGCTATCCCAGGAACCCAACATCTGTGAATAGTTTTCTCTCTAAACATCTAACATGAACTTTCCCAGAGTCCTCAGAAGTTAGTAATTATGAATTTAGCTTATTTTTATTTTTAAATAAGCACAATCGTTGACTTTTGATAAAGAGCAGTGAGCATTTCACTTAAAGTAACAGAAATCAGATGTAGCTGCAGCACTGGGAGGAAGTATTGCAAGCATTTGGTTAGACTGTGTTGCCTTGTTTTGTTGTTTGGATATGCGCTTATTTTCTTTCTCCAATGATAATGTTTATAGTTGAATGTACATTAAAAGCCGACAAGGTGGGCGTGGTGGCACACGCCTGTAATCCCAGCACTCGGGGAGGCAAAGGCAGCCAGATCTCTGTAAGTTTGAGGCCAGCCTGGACTACAAAGTGAGTCTGGGACAGCCGAGGCTACACAGAGAAACCCTGTTTCAGCGGGAGAGGGGGGAAAAGCCTGCGTACACATCAGGACCAGAGAGAGGCCTTTGAGTGGTTCAGTGAAAGCAGGAAGACCTCCAGCTGGGTCCCAAGGAAATGTCTAGATGTCATGAGTAAAAATTTATTGGTAATTATTGTAGTTAAAAAATAGAAGGAAGTAAATATTCCAGCAAACATGACCCCTGACAGTATGAGAGATCAAAAGTGATTTTAGAAGATGAACAGTGCTGTATCTGTTTGGTAATGTATAATTGGATGGTTGTTATTTTTAATATAGGGTCTTACTATACAGCAAGACTGCCCTCAAGCCTGTGATCCTCTTGCCTCAACCTTTGAATGTTGGGCTTGCAGGTCTGTGCTACCAAACCAGGCCCCAAAACAAAACAAAAACAACAAAAGTGCTTTAATGAGACAAAATGTAATACTATGTAATTTATCAATTTGAGTAATACTGTTCATTAGTTTCTGGCATACACGCAAGGTATATTCATAGTAACAGGCAGCTGCAATCATTTTTTGTCTCCTATAAAAGAAACACTGGACCTGTTGTTAACTGCATTCTCAACCCCACTCATGGACTTTCTGGGTCTAGGTTTGTTTATTTGTGCATTTCATGAGTGGAACCCCAGTATTTGCTTTTTTTCTTTTTAAGATGTATTTATATATTTTATACGTGTGAGTGTCTGCATGTGTGTCTGCACCAATGTGTGTACCTATGGGAGGGAGCCAGATTGTGGGATTCCATGGAACTGGAGTTACCGTGTGGGTACTAAGAACAGAACCTGGCTCTTCTACAAGAGCAGCAAGTCAAGCCGGGCAGTACTGCCTTTAATCCCAGCACTCAGGAGGCAGAGGTAGGTGGAGCTCTATGAGTTCAAAGCCAGACTGGTCTACAGAGAGTTCCAGGATAGCCAGGGCTACACAGAGAAACCCTGTTTAGTTTAAAAACAAAAGCAAGCAGCAAGTCCTCTTAACCTCTGAGGTGCCTTTTCTGACTTACCCTATCTTTAGGGTTCATCCATGTAGCATTTAACTATACTTTAATCTTTTTTATGCCCTTTGTGGAATTCTGTGATAGTAAGACTAGATTGCATTTTGTTTATGTAGGTGCTAATGAATGGACTTAGGGTGGTTTTTACGTTTGGCTACTGCAAATGTTTCTGTGGACATTCATGTACAAACTTTGTGTTATTGGGTGTTTTTATTGCTCTCAGATATATCCCTACAAGAATTTGTGTGTTAGACAGTAGCTAGAACAAGCTCTTTAATTACTATATTTTATTTTATTCTATGTGTTTGGGAGTTGTTTTCCCTACATGTCTGTCTGTGCATCAGGTGTGTGCCTGATGCCCTCAGAGGCCAGAAGAAGATGTCAGATCCTTTAGAGAGTGGAGATAAGAGATGGTTATGTAGGTTCTGGGAACTGGACCTGGGTCCCCTGCAAGAACAGCCAGTGCTTTTAATCACTGAGCCATCTCTCCTTAAGGGACTTCTAAGCTGTTCTAAAAATAAACCTCTACCTGGGTGTGGTGGCTGGAGTCTTTAATCCGAGAATTTAGGAGGCAGAGCAAGAAGATAGCTTGCTGCGAGTTGATGTCAGCTTGATCCATATAACAAGTTCTAGGCAAGCCAGGGATATTAGCAAACCCTGTCTTAGAAAATAACACAACAAAAGATCTGTATGTTAGATCTTCAAAAAATAAA